AGCGTTTCTTCCTCGCCTTTGCTCGCCCTCCTCTCCGTTTCCCCTCTCTTCTTGCCTGCAGCCACTGGATTAGTAGGCTTTGTCGTCTGCTCTTCTCTGCCTGGCATTCCTGCATGCAACCAAACTCAACAGTTCGACCGACCACAACAGAATGATGATTCTCGTTGCTCGTTAAGTAGTTACTGCTGTTAGGGTGGTGATGAAAGCGGAAAGATGGTGAGCTGTGCAGAACTGACTCTGCCATGGATTAGCTGGTGAGACATAAATAACTACTTTATTTAGCCATCAGTTAGATTAGTAGATCAGAAAAAAGGCTCAAAACGACAGAGATTCTGTAGCAGGGCAAAAGAGCCAGGTAAATGAGGAGGCCGGCCAGAGGGAGCATCTGAATTTGTGATATGGAGTAGTAGTTTAGGCTGGGAGACAGCTCGGTTATGCGAGGACTCTAGTTGGTGCACCACACGTCCACACGCTTTAGCTGATCTTTTCTTCCTGCTTCCCCTAATCTCCTTCCGCAGCTCGCTATCGCACGCACGAGGCAAGGGCAGCCTCCATTTGGCGGCGCTGTGATAAACCGCCGCCCGCTGTCCCAGACGTTGCGGGGAACGGATCGCAGTCTCGACCTGTGTTGGTCACCATCATCATGTGGGAATCCGGATGAGATGCTCGCATGCCCTCTCATTAATTATGTATATAGCAATATCTTTTTTAAAATAATAATAATTAAATAATAAAAAAGAATTCAACTTAGGAATCAGGTCCCACTTGTAGTAGAGCAACTCTAAGATCGAGTTTCGTTATATAGTTCCAGATTGATAGGAGTAAAACTTTGGTTAAAAACAATTTCAATAACTTTTTCAATTAGATATGCAAATATTGGTTTCCTCTGTTCCTGATTTCTCGCTATCTAAAGACGGAGAGCGGATTGATTCTCCAAAACGTGGAAAAAATGTAGAAAGGCTATTAGAGGACGAAGAGATATAGATAGCAATTGTTGTTTATGTAGCTCTCTAATAAGGATTTAGAGAATGAGTTGACCAAAGAACATTAAAGATGCTCTTACACTAAACTATATACTCCGTAAGATAGTATAACATAATCATTTGCTAATCGTTGGAGGAGGAAAAAATCTTAGTAGGAGAGTCGCTTGACGCACCCCTGCGGTAGCAATAGAATCATTCAACTGGAGCAGGTGCTGAGGTGGCGAGGGCGAAGTGATGGAAATGCATGCGGTGTGCTCTTTTTTTCAAAGAAAAATAAAAGAGCTAGAGCCCTTATATTATAGAAGGAAGTGGAGCCTGCCAACCTGGCCCTAAAACAGGCTAAGAGATATGTGCCCTCGCGTGATTTACTATTGGATCTGCTCTAAGATTCATGCGCTCACGAACTTATGAGGGATTTTTCTAGCTAGCTAGTGATTGACATAGGTTTCCTACCTCCAAAAATCTATGGAGACAGAGCTGTCCGTACACTCGATGTGCCGCCATTATAGTACCTATCAATCAAAACATGAATTAAGCCCAGCATAAAAATATTCACAAAAAAGAGAGTAAGAAATAGGAGGAAATGCAAACGACTATCAGCCTGTTCGGGAGACCGTATCGTATCGTGGATTATTTACTACTGGCTGGTTTGATGTGAGAGAAAAACACTGTTCCCGGCTGGAAATTTACGATCGTTTACGAGCAAGCGAACAGGCTGTATGTCCACATAACATAACAATAACGCCATATATATTATTGCTGATTGATGGCGCGACAAGTGTAATTACTCCAGGAGGAACACCCCAAATGGCTCCTGGACCGGGGCTGCTTGCTGGCCGCGCGCGGCACATCAATGGCGCCCGGGGTACACTGACGGAGCGGTGTCGCGCCAGCGAGAGCGACGCGTGATGTGTGTGTGAGTCTGTGAGATCTCGGCGCATGTCGATGACGTCCTCCTGCACGGCTGCACTGCACAGCTGCACCCACACGCCCACGCCCACGCACATGCACATGACATGCGCGCCCTGACCCGGCCAACCAACCGTACTGCCTGCTGCCTGCTGCCTGCTGCCGATCGGTTTTTTTTTATGCGTGTCGTGCGGACTGGCTGGCCGGGAAGAGGTTGGTTGCTTTGGTTAGTTGCCGCCGGCGCCGCTTGCCATCGATCCGAGATGACACTATGACAGGCGACGTTCCAAACCATGATTGTCTGCTGCGGAAGTAACAGAGCTGGCCACTGTATTATTGGTTCTTGTATGTAACAACAGCGTTCTCTCCCTCTCTGCATGTCTCACCTAACTGCCAACTGCAACAGGTACTACACGGACCCATGCATGCTTTGAAGCTTTCCTTGCCCAATGCCCTGGTGTTCCATCCTGAGTCCTGGCCATCCATGTATTGAAATGGTTCATGGATGAACAGCAGAGGCTCACTGACGGTAAGCCATAAGCATGGAGCAATCGCACGCCTGATGTTGGAACTCTCCAGGACATGGACCGGACATGTAATATTTCAGCATGCAGAGCCATAAAAGGGGGGCACAACACAAGCTTTCGGTAGGAGGATCGATCAATCCTCTTTCGGTCTTTTCCTTCTTAATTAAATCCGGCAAGTAAGAGTGTTATCAAATGGCCGGCGTGCGTGCATGCACGGCCATCGGCCATCATCATTCCTCGGCGCTAAACTAAGCTTGCATTGCACTGGATGAGGGGGAGAAAAAAATGCTTGTGTCCGGGGATTAAACAAGCTAACCGGCGGGCCCTCACCTACATCTACATGAAGAGATCACATGGTGGGGCTGCCGTCGAATCAATACCACCATCCAGCATTTTCAGCTCCCTCCTCAAACAACCCCCCCCCCCACACACACACACCGGCACTGCCTATAAGGCCTTGTTTATATGCGTATGTATTTATCTCAATCTATATGTGTGAAAGTGGATTGAATTGAAATTAAACTAAGTTTTATTTCATTCCACTCCAATACATGTGGATTGAGATGGATACACATACATCAAATAAGCCCTAGAGTGGGTCATCGGCAGGCTGTCCTCCTCTTGTTCAGAATGAAAGCCAAGACGAGTTCCTCGGAAGCTCAGCGGTATGAACCTTTCAGACCAAGCAGCAAGCACAAAAATGAGCAACTATTTATGAGTCTCGTGGTCTTGTCAGCTGAGAGCTGTTTGTTTCCCTCCGCCCTAAAAATGATGCAATTTGAGATCTAGTCAAAGACAAACTATTTTAAATTTGTCTAAGTTTATGAAAAATACCATCAAAATATATTCCATGATGCTACTTAGTATAATAAATAATATAGTATATTTTTTTCTAAAAAATGTTCAAACTGAAAATAGGTTGACCAAGGACTATAGTTAGAATTGCATTCAATTTAGAACGGAGGGAGACTCACTATTCAGACTCAGTTCAAGGGCTACTGATTGGAACTTTTTTCCAGTTATGAAGCAGGATCAACAAACATGCGTGCATATTTGATTTACATGTTCTTCCTTTCTTCCAGCTCCATCTTACAAGTAACACATAGGATAATCTGACCCTCTGGCATTTATACATTTTGCACGCCTGAGCATTTACATATTTAGACAAGAATGGAGTACCGTATCTCCTGAGAGATTGCCCTTGCACTTTCTGCCTTCAACAAAACATTGTCAACTTGTTTAAAGGAGCTTTCAGTTCTTAAAACTCAAAAACTCTGCTCAGATGGTCCTGGGCACACTTCACTTGCCATTTGCTAATACTATTACCAAAACTCACAGTGTTGGCGTTTATGGCGCCTTTCCGCTAGGGCTCAAAGGGGAACTGGGGCTCAGTGGGTTGTAAAGGGGGTGCCATGATCAGTACAACTGCACTTTAATTCAGTGCCCACCTCAATCGAAAGATTGTGCCCCTTTGGGTGAAAATTCCCAGTCATTCAGATCAATAGCCCCCACAGGAACATGTGTCATGTGAGCTTGCTGGTTGCTTCTAGGGTATGCTTACCCCACTACGAGGTGGCTTAGCAGCAGTGGTCCAATCCAATGCTGGAAGAAATGCAGACGGAATTGATAAAAACCTTCTTTGTCCACCAAATCGACACCTATGCAGTGGTTCTTTTGTTCATTGTATCATGAGATGAACAAGTCTAATCTATTTCTACACTCTTTTCTTGATAGGTTTCATCATGAGAAAATTTCATCATTGTGCATACCTGCCAACGATACAGCAATTTGACTTTCATTTTCACTAGCCGAACTTATGGATTTAGTATTGGGTTAGATATCCTTAAAGGAATCAAATGTGCTGTGATCCATAAGACTGCATGATGTCTTTTGCACTAAGCAACCTATCACAAGTGACGGTTCAATAACTGTTAACAATAGTGATCATAAACTCTAGTAAAAAGGAGAAGTCACAGCTCATAAGTGCTGGTTAAAGATTTGTCTAAAGCCTCTATCAAGTAGTAAAGCGATGTGCATTATTACTATCCAACTTGATTGCCATTTCAGCTACGTGGTCATCTTCCACAGACAAAAGAGAGTAGCAATAATTAACTTAAAATGGGGCTGCAAAACCAAGCTGGAGTCATCATGGGCCCAAAATACGCAGGCAATAATGGCCTATTAGCAAATTAGTTGTGCAAATCATGTGATACCTGTTGTCGAGTCACTACATGCAAAATGCATCCATACAAGCGAGCGCTATTGTGATAATAAAAACCTTGGCCCACTGAATGCGAATACATGATTGAATAACCACAGACATAACTAAGAAAAAACTGAATGACATGCTTATCGTCCATTCAGAGTTAACCATTTGAGCACAGCAACATAGTAATTTGACTGTCTTTCATTGGTCGGTAAACTTGAAAAAAGGTATTTCAGGTACTGCACCAGAAGACTCGACCGCATGCTCTATTACAGGATATATGAGATAGGTACTGAAATAAAACTTCTACTTTTGATCGTTTGCGTGTTATGTCAGACAAACCAGTGACCATAGAGATGCAGGGAGGTTAGCAGATCACCTCTTCTGCAACAAACTGCTTAACTGATTGTAGATAGTATCTTTCATCGTATCCCTGTTACCAGTATTTAAGGCGAAAACAGCTGCTCCAGGATGATTCCGCAACCTCGCAACTGCATTTTACAGTAGTACCATTTAATTATAGCACTAGTGACAGGCCACGGTAATCACAACTTCCAGCTACATTTCAAGAGGAGTGTGGAACAGCGTAATATAAGTCTTGTTTCAGTACTAGAGATATTGTTTAATTTATTGGATGCAGCAAGCATAGCTAGTAGAATACAACAAGCTTTAAACGTGTACCGAAAGCAGGTTCTCAAATACATATGAATGGAGCTGTTAATGAGCAATCAAGGAAATGGTATTTTATACATGATTTTGAACGAAACAGCAAAATTATTAATCAGTAACCTCTGTAAAGTTGCAGAATAGGATAAAATGGTACCTCCTGGAATGTCCCGGCCATGCCTAGGAATGGGTATGGTGGCCAACACTGGTATATTGGATTCAATAACTCTCATTACAGCAGGGAAAAATGCTGAACTGAACAGCTCCATTTTACCCACTTCGTCAATGATGAAGAGATCTGTTTCTTCCTTAACCTGATTCAACAAGAAACATGAAGTATATTTCCTTCTGCATCGTGATCAATCGGGAACAAACTTTAAAACCTTATCATGCATTCATGCTTAAGCTAACAAGCAACATCCCGTGATCCTTGATATTTCATAGCTCTTTCATAACTTACAACTGCTTACCTGCAGCTCAGGTAATGCTAATGATTCCAAAGATGCTACATCTACTTTGTATTTCCCAACGGTAGGCCATCTGACAGACTCTGAGCTGCAAAAGAACCAAAAAGTAATGGTATGTGTGAGGATATCAAGGTTACAAAAATTCAGCAAACATATATCAAGGTAGCCTTGCGGAAATAAGCAATGGCAACCATGCAGAGTTGGGATAGCTAAAAAATATTAGATGGGCAAAGAGGCAAGAATAGGTGGACGCAGCACTTCATTAATCTTTTGCATATTAACTAACTGGTATGTGCAGGATGGAAGCATATGACAACAAGAACTGGAAAACTCCAAGTTCATCTGAAAATGGAATGTTTATGGACTTATAGGATGTGTGTCAACTAAAGGGAAAAGTAGTGTTACACATGAGCACAGACTAATACAATTAGTCTGAAAATCTACTGAAAAGATGAACCATTATCCAGATTCCAATCATCAGCAAAGACAGGTTTAGGATATTGGAGCATGGCCACCTCTTGGTGTTGGCGTGTTGGAAAGGGACCTTCATTTACAATTGAGCAGTGAATTTAACTGGAATTGCTGGGAAGCAATCTTAAACTAGACGTTGGGTAATTTGCTTGTATGCAGAGTAATGTAGTAGCCCCTGTCATTCTCGACGGCTTGAACAATTAGACTACTAATCCACAGTATCAGATAATTTCCATAGTACAGACACATTTCAAAATTCCAACTACCCAAATGCACGGTGCTAAACAAATACCTACTCAACATAAGAATTTAGAACAAGCATAAATGCATAATAGCAACCTGGAAACCTTGGATGAGGAAAGGGGTCCACTTCTGCCGTCGAGCGTGACAACCTCGAATCCTACCCTTTCTCCGCCCTCTCTCACCTCTCCTGCAAACAGAGATAGCACACCGAAACTGGTAAAATTCGTGGTCATCAATTGCACAGTGGAACGAACCGGAGTTCGACAGGGCGAGGCAACGCAGTACGGGTGTAGAATCCGCGAATGGTGAGGTTCGGGTGAGAGCCTCTGAGGGTTTCGAACACCCGCATGACCAGCGTCGTCTTCCCCATGCCCTGCAAGTACCCGAAGCCGGAGCCGTGAGGCGGTTGTTCGGAGAAAGGAGGAGCGTTCTGAGAGGTTTCAGCGGGCTTACCGGCGGGCCAGTGACGAGGAGGCACCTCGACGGCGCGGCGGCCATGGACCGGCGAGGCAAGCGGCGGCGGGAGGCGCCGCCGTTCGAGTGATTTCTGTGATTCTTCAGACCTTCTTCATTCACATTTTTTGTTGTTGAGGAAAACCTTCTTCATTCACATGGCATGAGAGGGTTCACGCGTGCTCTCCATGGGCTCTATTCTAGATGGGCTTGGGCCAATGTGCGATCTGTTTAATAGGACGGCCCGAACTCTTATCTACCATCTACCATTTTTCTCCTTGTTATTTCTGTATTCCATATCTTGCGCTCCAGCTAGCCACGTCGCCGCAACTTCCTTGCCGTCGATTTAGCCCTTCCACAAATCTAGCGCCGTTCGTTTTCCTCCTCCACCAAAGTTCAGACGTACCTGCTCGAACATTCGCCTGTTCGTTTGGCTGTGGCTTGTCGTAAACGATCGTAAATTTTTAATCGGAACAGTATTTTTCTCCTACACAAACCAGCCAACAGTACTTTTTCACAAACCAATAACGATACGAACCAGCCAACCGAACAGGCTGCGGTACGCTTCTTCCCAAAAATACAGTGCCCAGTGCCTGCTCGAACGTTCCGTCTCCCTCTTCCTGGTAAACACAGCGCCCGGCAAAAATAAATGTTGGCCCCCCTAAAACCACGCCATCGGCCAAGTCCACCGCAGCCTCAGAAGTGGCGCCTTGGCGGTCGTCCCCCTGGTGAACCGCGGCGCCGTCATCCTCGCTATGCTACTGTGCCTCCACTGCCACCCTGTGTTGCTGCTGCTGTGCTTTGTTGCCGGCGATCGAGTTTTTGCCATGTCGCCGCGTTTTTACTAATTGTTCATTACCTGCGAGTCTGCGACTACCCTGTCCCTGACTCCCTGTTGTCATGTCTTCCCAGCGCTCTCTTTCCTCTCTGAGCATCGTAAGGTCTCCCCTGCTGCGGTTTCCTCTACCCTTCCTGCTCTGTGCCCTCCAAGTGTTCGATTCAATGCCCAAAACGAGTCTGCTTCCTAACTTTTCATCCGTCTATTGTCTTTACAGGCCTTCCATTCCTGAGAAAAAAAGTCTCCATTTGTACAGATATTTGGTGATCATGTTTTTGCCGGTGTTTTTTCCTTCAACAATGCAAGAGATCGGCGTATCCATGTTTTCGCATTTTTTTTTGTAAATTTACCATTTATTTTATCATTTGTTTAGTTTTTTGTTTCCTTCTCGCGACTCACGTGCTTCCATTGTACAACAAATAATCACAGTTTGGTTCCTCTCATTATATTTTCTGTCAGGTTGGTTGCTTGGATCTACATTTTACTTCACTCTATTTTGCTTATCCCTTGAAGAATAAAATAGCTAAACAGATGAAATAGAAGGGATGATACAGAAGCAGGAACTGCATCAATTTGTTGGTGAATTCATGGTTCGTATTGTCTTTGCATTCAGAGCTAATCCGGTGGTAATGAGTTTTGACTATGCAGCCATATATGCTGACCCAATTCCATGAGGTGGTTGTGCTATCGTAATGTTCCTCCAGGGTTTATTTGTTGGTAAATGGAGCAGTGACTTTGAATAGGTTCACCTTAGCCAGCGATGACTAAGTGGAACAGTCGCTAATGCCAACCAGAGGTTCGTTTGCCTAAACTACCAATGTCCTTCGATAATTCTGCATTTTTAACCACTTTTCAGGCTTCACCATTTTTTGGTGTAAATACCTGACAACACCCCCTGATATGCTGCTTTATACATCATGCCTAAATGGTCTGGCTGAATGAAAGTGAGGCTTACTTTCCATACCTCTCAAATCTGGAGTCTGTCACCAAACTTTTGCCCTCGCTGACGCCTTAAATCCGTGAAACCTTAAATTCCACTTGATATCTACTTTGCATTGCAGTTTATCCAGTGTCATTGTGCACGAAAGGTTTTTCACATACATATTCTTTCAATGGTGTAAATACTTACCATCTAGAGCACCTAACACTTTTATGAATGATATTTTCCAAAGTACTTATAATAAAGGAATATTTTGCTTGGTTTTCCATACAAAAGTGTTCAAATCCGTCACTTTATAGTTTCATCGGTTGTCTACAAAATTAAAATAATTTCAGAGTCCCATCAATCTTTTCAGCCACTATTTGAGTTCAACTCTTTGTTCTCTGTGAACTCATAACAGGTAACCACCCCAAAAGTTTCCGTACATGTTTTTATAATGTCACAAACAACGAATATACATTACATAGCTATCAAAAAATATAGCCCTGTTTAGTTTCCATCCCAAAACTTTACACTCTGTCATATTGAATGTTTGGACACATGCATGGAGTATTAAATATAGACTAAAAATGACTAATTGCACAGTTTACGACTAATTTGCGAGATGAATCTTTTAAGCCTAATTAGCCCATAATTTGACAATAAGGTGCTACAATAACACATGTGCTAATGATAGATTAATTAGGCTTACTAAATTCGTCTCGTGATTTACTAACGGATTCTGTAATTTGTTTTTTATTAGTATCCGAACATCCTATGCGACACCTCCATGTAACATCCATCCGATGTGACACTCTAAAACTTTTCAGGCTCGATCTAAACAAGGCCATATTATCTATATTAGTTGTTGTCTTTGGCACACCGCGTGGGATATTGGCTAGGTATTCAAAACTCATTTTCTGCGACGGATTATTGTTTTTCTCTGGTCTAATCTCTATCTCTATCGTCTCTTCCGAGACATCCGATAATCTCTATCTTATCTATATATCTATTTTCTAATGTTTGTTGAACCATCCAGTCTAAATATTTTTTTCTCTACTTCGTACGCATATATACCAGTGTAATCCATGAGAGAGCCACCACGTGGAAAATCAAAGAGAACTTTCCCACTATAATCATGAGCAAATTGATTAGTTCTTGATACGTCAACATATAACTTTTTACTGACTTGACCAGATATTAGAATTGATTTTATGGGTCTTCAAAGTAAGTTACATAACTTAATATTGAGTTGTATCAACGCATACATAGCATGAAAATTTAAATTATGGCATATTTTACGAGCAAATATATCTGTTCTTTGAAATTGAAACAAGAGAAAAAATTCCTCAAAGTTGCATTTTAATTTGATACAAACTTAGTAAGTTGCCAACATTAACTTAAACTGTGATGTCATAGTCATCATAGAATAATATATAACATATATATACACACACAACAATAATTAATACTCATTTGATAGCTTTATTTTTAGCGCACGAGTATGTTTGCTAGTCTAATGCTAAAACAAGAAAGGTTTCTTGGCCCAGAGTCTGAACATAGTAGAGACTAATGGACCCCTCTCGTGTGTTCATATGAGTTAAGAGGGTATGTCCAAGGTGCAGAGTCTGATTCTAAAACGATTTGGAACACTAAGCGTTTGCATGATCGCCATTCTCTCCCATACCCATACAAACCAGAGCGACACACGTCCAGGCAAAACACAAAGTTCAATTCGAAGATGAATTCAACTGCATGATTTGATCGTTGAATAAATATCTGATAGACATGTCATCCATGTGGCCACGCAAAAAGTTGTATGTCCTGTTACAATGCACGTGCACGTTTGTTAGTTTATCTACCCTAGTATTAAAGAGTGAGAGGTTTTTTCATCCTTCATCACTCAGAACCATTTGATGATGATTTTGTGGACTCAATTTCTCTCATGTCTGTACAGGTTAGAGTAGTGTGTAAAGGCACAGTATGGAGGCTGATTCAATAATTAATTGGAATATATGAAACGTTTCTATGGTCCGCCACTCTTTGCGATACCGAGAGTGAAGTGTTCAAGTATGGTGCGAAGTTCAATCCTGTCGGTACAGAAAGTGATCAACTAGTGAATATTTATAGTTCTGCTGTACGTTGTGATCGGAGGTGGCTTAACACTCAATGACACAGGATTTATACTGATTCAGACAACGTGCCCTACGTCCAGTTTGGGTCGGTCGGTGACTTTATTCCTGAGCCCAGGTGCTCGAAGTCTACAGTGGGGTTATAAACGAGAAGGAGAAAGATGGGGGGTACCAGAGGCCCGGTCGGCTCCGGTCGGAAGGGCCGAGAGCGACGGGAACTCCACTATGAGCTAAGTGTTCAAGCGTGTGCTTGAGGTCCGAACCTGGCGGTTCTGTGGTTGTGAGCTATTGGACTAATGAATCTAAAGGAACCGAGCTTGAATTAATCGGTCCGTCTTCTGTTGGAGGGAGTGCATCCCCTTTTATAGACGAAGGGGATGGCTTTACAGGTGAGAGGGAGAGGGTACGGATGCTTTTAAGCCTTGTTGCCCACGTCGATGAGGATTGGATAATGGTAAGCGTCCACAACACTGTTGGTGTCACTGTAGAATGTCAGGTGCATATGGGAGGTTGCGGTGTCTTCTTCAGGAAGGGTTGACGTTGGTACCTGCAAAATTATTGCTTGCTCAGAGGCATGCGAGGAGTCTCACCACGTTTACCGGGTATGGTGAATCCCGGCACCTACAACACTATTGATGCCCAGAGGCATGTGAGGGGCTTTCTGCCGTACGGGAGTCCAACGATGCCTACAATACTATAGGGATAAATGTCAGCGCCTGCAATACTGTTTGTGTCAGGGTGGTTGTGGAACACTGTTCCCGCAGGTGTACAGGGTATGGTCCCTGTACCGTGGTTTGACTCGCGTGCTGCTTTCTCCGTCCGTCCCTGGTCCCTTTCGAGCGGGCGTCCCCGGTTGGATGGCCCCAGTCGGCTTTGGTTGCGCCGGTCGGAGAAGAGCGGCGAGCAGGATTCTTACGTACCCCGGTCGGAGAGACGCGGGGGCGGGGTCGGAAGTAGGGCTCGGGGCAGGCCTTCCGATCGGAGAGGCCGTCCGGAGGCGGTCGGAGCCCGAATCGAGCGCTCCGATCGGATAGGTGGGCCGAAGTAGCCGACGAGCGGGCGTTGCTCTTCTTGAGTCAGGCCTTCCGGTCGGTTGCTGGACCGCCCCTTTGCCCTGTTGTTTTTAGACTCTCGGGTCGAGCTTTGGCGTGGAAGC